GTAACTCGGTTTGATTATTATGTCATCCCTAAATTATTAAATAGAGACGAATATACTATTCGTTATCCATAATATCAAATATGTGTGAAAGGGAAAGAATGGAGCGGTAATCTTCAATCCATTCCGATCATCAAAACAAGGAGCGCTCAAGTTAGCCGTCGTCACGACCACTCATATCAAAAGGAAGATTGACTTGTCAAAGACATATACGTCTTTTTGTATACCAAATTTTATTATAAAGATAACCTTTTTTCTTTTCTTTTTTGTTTTCACTCAAAAATGAATTTGTATTTGATTAAATAGTGTTACAGTACAGAAGAGAAACATATTTGAACCCTAAGAAGAACACAATGATCAACCCAAACTTTTTTTCTTTTCAAATACTATATTTGCAGTCAATATTGTTAAAACAGTTGAGTCAATTGAAAATTTTCTCCATTTTTTCGTATAACTAAAACCAATGTATATAGTTTTTTAAGAAAGATCAAGACGAGTTTCATCTTCCAGACGAATTCACGTGGTTGGTTATTGTGGATGCGAAATCTAGTTTTAAATAAAGGTTGACGAATTCGAATTCGAAAGGAAAATGTGGGACTAAGTTTTTTTTATTAGGGTCCAAAAAATTAATGATAAATTGAAAAGTACGAATCAAAAAGTAAATTTCGTTTGTCAAATGTTCAAAATGTATGACTAAAAGAGCTTCTCTTTATGGTATTTGGAGAGAACGAAATATAAAAAGACATGGAGAAGAATCTTAATGCCGACGAGGATGGTGAAGATTATCGATAAGATTATAAAAAATTGTCTAAACTCTATTCGGACTTTAGGCGATGAAAGATTTGAGGAAAGTATCATTTTCTGGTTTAGTATTAGAACTTTTTAGTCTAGACTAGACTATTGGACAGCCAACCACCTGCATCAGCCTCCCATGGATGGAAAGGGATCCTCATAGGAAAGGAACTTCTAAAACTTAAACTGGGAAAAACAATAGGAAATGGGGTTAACACAAAGGTGTGGAAAGAACCCTGACTGTCCTTATCAACACCAACCCAACT